CTGTTTCCCAAGGCTGTAAGTCCTCATCTAGAACCTAGAGTGACTTCAGCATCGTCTTAGTGACGTTGGCAAATAAACAGCGATCTATAATAAACAATGGTATCGCCTTTACAAGATAAAATTTAGCGTTAAGCTGAACTACATACCTGTTTTATGTCTTTAAATGGAGAGAGGCTTGGGCCGAAGGTTCAAAGTTTGACGCCCGGCAAAAAAGGTATAAGGCGTCCACAATAAAGTTTTATTCAATGGAAAAATGTAGCTTTCACATATCATCGTGGGACGACTCCCCTATCAGTCTTGGAAGAACCTAAGTTACTATGGCTGACATATGCTTAGTCGTGTACTCACTGATTGTCGCGAAATATACTCACACGGATGATGTGCATATAATACCGATCAGCAGAACACAACATCATTAATGAAGATATGCAGACCAAGATGTTGTGACCTCTGGTATGCTCTAACGGCCCTACTGGAAATCCTAGACCGAGAGGAGGATATCCTGGAATCAAAAGTGATCAGGAGGGAGTCGTTCATGTGACTAATCAATTTGATAATAAGGACCACCTATTTTACATTCAACGGGAACATCTATAAACAAATATTTGCACTTCCCATAGGGTCACAGCTCTCACCACTTTTAGCCAATGTATACATGAACAAAATAGAAAAGAGCTTCAAGATGGCACCGCAGCAACAGGCAGTGCTCATGCGGTACCTAAATGATTACTTCGCATTTTGGTCACATGGAAGAGAAAAACTGGGAGAGTTTTTGAAGTTTGCAAATCAAATTGATGAAAAAATTCAATTCACTATGAAAGTAGAGGAAGGTGAGAGGTTACCGTTCCTGGACGTTGAAGTGATTCGTTCTAATTGTTCAGAAAGAAGTCGTATGCTGGGATAATACCTAATTTCCGATCCCATCACAATTACAGGCTGAAGATTAGAATAATGAGGAGCATGATCATCCGAAGCCTACGCTTAACGGATGCAGATTTCTGGGAAGAGGAGCTGGACACATTGACGGCAATATTCCTCGGCAATGGCTACCTAAACGAAGTGATACAAAGAAACATACGGGCCGTGAAAAGCCGATGGCAGAACGGGGACTATGAAAGGACAGAAATAACGATTAAGCATTCACAAAAGTGGATATGCCTACCCTCCTGGGAACTAATTCACAAACGAGGGCCAATATTAAGG